ATATATATATATACATACATTTAGGTTGCCTTACAAAATAACATATTTTAACAGTATAAAACAAGCATAAAATACATCAATAATAATAAAAAATACTGCTGAATTGATGTCTGTTACGTTAAAATGTTTGCCTATTTTGAAATGATGCAAATCGTACATATACTAGTATATATTTAACATTTATATATAATCATAGTTGTGCTTTTTCATCTCTAAACTATTGTAAATGGCGTCTTGATGTTTTGAGTCTTTGTAATTATATTTATGTGCTCACAAGCTGTCATTACAGCACAGACAGATAAATCAATATGTACTTGTAACTGTGTCATGAAAAGCTCCCGCAGTATCAGAGCTCAACTCTCTGAACGATTCTGTAGTTGAGATGTGATCTCATTATACCTTTGATGGCTTGGATGACATGTAACAAGAGGGAGTCTAATAGACAGCAGGTGAATTGGTAGCTGTAATGAATGATAAGATTGATAGGCAGGGATAAGGTTGATTTATAGTTTTCATGTAGATAATACCTTAGTCTTTGATGTAAATACCTTAATATGGCAATATCATGGTATTACCACTTGATGCCATCACTTTACCATGGTACCACCACAGTAACACATTCTGTCATTAGAGTTGATCAACTCATCCTGTATTCACACATATTATCATGTTAGTAAAATCAATTAAGATCAGTACGTGTGTGTCATCCTCAAGACATTCTATTATTATTGTACATGCTTAATTTGGGAGTGTGTGGTGTGAGTCTGCGTTATCACAACTCTAAAATAGGCCTACTTTTCTTTTTGCAAAATATATTTTTTCCACTCCTTTCGATTCTGAGAAATGTGAGGACTTGTGAGACCATTGTGGTTTAATGGTTTGACGCTTGGCTCGCATTTCATTAGTAACCAGCATGTGTGTTTTCAGTTTGTCAGCAGTGCGCTCTGCGATGAAACCCAACCAGATGGTAGAGGAGCTTCAGACGGGCAGCCAGCGTGTGGAGAGGGGCTTCCTTCAGAGCCACAAGGAGACTACAAGACAAGGCTGGCATCTCTGATCACTCAGACCAGGATCTCCATGCAAGATGTTCCCACCTCCATGAAACCCCAGGAGACACACATGTGATGCTTACAAGAGAGCCTGAACTGATCGTAACTGTGACTGCACATTAAAAAGCCTATTAAAGGCAGCACACGTCAAGCATCTTAAAAGCTATTCCTTCCTCAATTGAAGATGCACAAAGTAATTTTAATCGAAATGAATGAATATTAAAATGATGTTTGCTTACAAACTCAAGGTCAGGTTTCACCCCAAAATCAAAAGCAAGAATTAATAATAGTTCTATACAACAGACTTTTTTTTCTTTCTTTCTTATTTTGCTGTGAAATCTGACCAGTTGATAACTGTTTTTATACCAGTCACCCAATAAGAGCATAAGAACTGACATGTAATTATTAGTGCACTTTTATGTACAATTATCCAGAATAGTGATTGCTCTGAAATTGGCCCTACTGTCCACCAGTGGCGGCATTTCACAAAACCATACGGTATGGCAGTGGCGTAAATTGGGGGTGGGGGGGTATGCACATTACTAAGCACTGAAATATAAAATAAATAGAAAAGGAAAAAGCGTAAAAAAAAAAAAAAATTAAACACTGCATCGTCAGAGTTGGTATGTGGCTTTATCAGACACTTGCACTTAACATTTTATGAAAATCAAGCTCAAATAGAGTTAACAAGGTTTTTGACCAGCAAATGACGGAGATCTGTGTTTTGTCTGTCATTACAACAGCCGCATCTGAGGCAGCAAGTGCATCGCATTATACGCTTTCATCAACTTACAGGTTATAACATTTATTGTAGCTATATGGGCGCTTAGTTTTTCATGTCGTTTAATACTCTTCATGATAGACGATGAAGCGCTATATGCATAGGATATTTAAAACGTAGCCTACAAAAGTAGCCTATTGGTTAGACGGCAAAAGCTATTCTCCGCTCTTCAAACACACACAAAAAAATCAGCCTTTATAGACATAGTGTTTTAGTGAAGAAAACGCTGTATTTATTCAGACATCATTTATTATTTACCCTTGCATTGCGAACAAGCCAAGATCTGTCTCCAGGCTTTGTTCTGAATGGAAGCAGGGTGAAGTTAAGAGGTTTTGCTGACAGTTTGAGGATCCATAGCGTTAAAAAGTTTAGTGACAAGCTCTTTTGAATGCTTTTCATTGGTTAAATATTTGTAAAACCCTCAAACAGACATAAGGAAGAGCAATAGCAGTGATTTAAAACAATAATAACGAAATATAATCGAGAGTTTGGATTTTCCACGGCACACCTGACTGGGCTAGGGTATGGCGACTGCCTTACTCTGCCATACGGAAACGCCGCCCCTGCTGTCCACATCACATTTACACAATCACAGTGCCTTTGATATAAGATGGCCTTTTCAGTTCTTTCAATAAAAAACATATGGCATGTCCGAGACGCTTCTCTGTAATGACTGAACTCAAAAATGCACATTCATAATAGAACAGTGTCTATAATAATATTCATGTCTAGGTTCTGTGGGTTTTAACATCTATCTGACATGGCTTCTTTCTCCAAGCGCTCAACTCTAAAATACCCTTCCTTGCAAAACCCTCAAAGATATTTCATACGTGTCCTTTTTTTCACAATCAATTTTCATTTAGAGCACAAAATAGGTCTGAAATCTGATTACTTAAGCCATTTACTGCAGACACACAGTTCTGTCAAAAGCTGCATTAATGGTGCCTGAACAAAATCAATATTGGCCAGTCAATACTTGTCTGTCCGATTTTGAAATTCTGTTCCAGGGTTTCCTAACTTGGCATTCACAATTTCAAATTATAATATAATACAAACAACTGCACATTGAGTAATTCACAGACTGAAGGGTGAAGAAAGCAAACCCTTGAATTTAGTAACTTGAATACTGACATATTTTCAGCATTTAAACGTACAAAACTGACGTTTTGACGACACCTAAAAATGAATCTTTATGAATATTGAAATCGCGGCATTGATTTTATTATTGTTGTTGTTTTTAGTTGTCATATCAATGGCGTTATGTTTTCAATTGCATTATTAAATTGTTTACTCGCTTACTTAATATGAAATGATAACATTTAGTTCTGTTCTGTGATTTCTGCTGCCAGCTCGTTTCCAAGAATAGGCCCACATGTTAAACAAGACTTAACTTTAAACCCTTAAAATAAATAACATTTCTGCAATCGTTTAACCTTTACTTCTCATGTAATGTTTACTTTGTTTGCCATGGGCCACAAAAGGCGTTTTCTCCGACATGCTGTGACTGACAATAGAACTATAAAATACACCAAAAACGCAACATAATTACGAAATGAAACAATTTTATTCGTGCGCTGTAATCCAAATCTTCAGAATCCATACGACTGCGAGGAACAGACCCAAATCCAAGCCTTTATTCGGCGATCTTCATCTCCATCCCGAACAGCGAGTCCAGTGACCGTAAGCAGCAAAGCCCGCGCCTCTCTTTACAAATGCAAATGTTGCCGCTTCAAACGACAGGTTTTACGGCAGGATAATGTAACGCTCATTGCCTCTTGCCTTCTGCTCTGCACATCACAAACCTTCTGTATTCCGCCAGAGAGGACTGCGGCTGCAACGCATCGTCATTTGGATTACTTTTGGTACATGCTTTTGACATTTTTGCAATAATTCGCTATAAAATGGGTAGGTTTAGGTTTGGGGGTAGGTTAAGGGGTCTAAAAATCTGAATTGCTTATTGATAAAATTATAAAAATGCATCGATGCGAATATCTTAATGATATAAAAGATACGTAAATATTTTGTTTTTTAGCTAAATAATATATATACAAAACATGAAAAATATTTTAAAGGTCTAGTCATTATCTTAATCACTTGGTGCCAGTGGCGGTTCTACATTGAATTACACCCTGGGCGAGACCACCTTCGAGCACAAATTCTGCACAAACAGTTATATTTTATTATAACAACATAAGTGAAAGAGAAAATTATATTTCTCAATTGCACAAATCCTTCATTAGAACATTTGAAAAAAAAAAACACTTAAGAGAATCCAGTTATTTAACTATTGCAATTACAACAGGAAACACACTTTTTAAGGTGCACAATCTCCACCTCCAACATTGCCAAAAGACAATGAACACAATTCTGCACAAAATATGACAGTATAAGTTATCAGAACTTAAATAAATATACACTATATACATAAATGTGCCAAAAATATATACAATCAGATATATAAAAAAATGTAACAAGAGCAGAGAGCAACAATAATATAAAATATTAAGAATAATATACAAATAAAATATAGAATATTCTAAATAGCACAACTCCTTCATCACACAAATGTGAAAACACACTAAAGAGAATCTAATTATTACACTATTGCACTAAGAACAGAAAACACAGGTGAACTGTCCCCCGTGCCCCCCCCCTTTCCCCTTCTCACACAGCTTCTGTGCACGGCACCTTCTCAGCAAGCAGGGGCGCCAATTTACCAATTCCCCACACAGTGAAATGATAGATAATAGAAAACTGCTTCGCGGCGGCGGCGCAAAGGATTTTTTTTTTTAACTGCTCGTGCCGCCCCCCATGTATCATGAAAAAATGCCGCCCCGGGCAGCTGCCCGGTGCGCCCGTGCCAAAAACCGCTACTGCTTGGTGCCCCCTTATTGGTTGGTGCCCCAGGGCACTCGCCCAATCCCGTCTATGGATAATCTGGCCCTGGTTGTCTTAATAGCACAGCTTTCTTTAGTTCATGCCACAGCATCACAGTTGGCTAAAGTTCAGGATTCAAGAAAACATTTTCTTTCTTTTTTTTCAGCCATTCTTTAGTAGGTATTACTTGTGTGCTTTGAATCATTTTCTTGTTGCATCACCAAACCTCTGTAAAGCCTGAAGTCATGAACTGCTGTCTCAACATTCTCCAGTGAAATGTCTTGATACATTTTATAATTCCTTGTTACTTCAATGAGTGCAAAGTATCCAGACCCTGAGGCAGCAAAGCAGCACAGCTGGAAAGAGGTTTTAGTGTGCCCTTTTTCTTGTAATACACATTGTAAATTTTTGCCAGAAAGTTCAACATTTCTCTCAACTGTCCACAGAAGCAGTGTGGATCATCCAGGTTGCCCATCTTGGGCAAATATAAGACATGCCTCAATATATATATATATGATTTTTGTTTGAGCATTTTCTAGCTGTAATGTTTTTTTTTTTGTTTTTTTGCTTTTGGGATTGATGCATGGTTCACACTAAGCAATCTTTCTTGAGAAGAACAGATTTGTAAATAACCAGTCTTTGTGTTCTGTTATTTAAATGACAGGGCATCTGTGAGACCCACACTTCCAATCTCATCTTTCTACTGAACTCCAGTTGGCATTTTGAGAAATCATAACACAGAGCTTCAGCCTGTCCTGTCAATGATCATTCGATGTATCCAATAAATTCTATCTAGTTAAATCTATCTTGTTTAACTCCTGGACAATTACCTCCTTAAATGCCCTGATATTTGAAGGTCAGGGTGACCTTAACACAACATTTGATCATTTTGATAACAAAATGTATTTTTCTGATTAACACTGACATGCTTTTTTGGTACCCGTTCAACCAGACTTGCTGAAACATTATATGTTTAAGGAATGTTCCCTGAGAAAGGAAAGAGGTGCTGTGTCCAATGGTGATGCTATGGGGAATACCTCAGTGTGGCTGCATCAGTGGGCAGTGCTAAACGGGCAATGATGTAGAATCGGTGGGCGGGGCTAAACAGGCAGTGATGTAGAAGCAGGCGTTGATCTTCTTCTGTGGAGGCGGGGTTTACCCATACTATTACATCATAGAGTAGAATATTCCACAAGTTGCCGTTTTGGGTTTGCTGTAAAACCTAATAAATCCAGGTTATAAAACCTAATAAATGTATGTGGCGAGAACCAGCCTAGCCTGGTCTAGGGTGGAGAATGACTTTGAAAAATTCTAGACATGTGGATGCAACTGACAGAGCCTGCCGATCTAATGATAGTGGCAACTGACAGGGCCTGCAGAAGTAATGTCAAGCAGAAAAGCTACTTTTAGTGTAATGAACTTTTCCTGAGTCCATAGGCTTGAAGGGTGCCAAGGTCAACCCCTATAAAACCATGGCCAAATCCCCGGCCGGAACTCTCACATGAACAGCAGACCTAACTCTCACATGAACAGCGGATCCCTATCTGCACATAGATGGATCCGTGCTGAGAGACACGGTTTTCAAACGCTCCTATGTGCTTCTGTGTGCGCGCTCGGTGAAGAGCATTAAGGGATGATCATTGAAGCCAATCACAGTCATATCTGTTGAGCGCGTGAACACTATGGCCAACCGGCAGTGTTTAAGAATCCGCTCAAATGTTATATTATGTATGTTATGTTTTTAAAATTGCAGTACCGACTGGTACCGAAGTTGGTACTTTTGACAACACTACTTCAGACACAATCACTGTCACGGAACACTCTCAATCAAGAAAAAGATCCAATTGCAGCTTTTATTAAAGAGACCAAAAACAGTAATCCACATCAGGGCAAAAGGCAGAAAAAACATGCGCAAGGTAATCCAAAATAAGGAACCCGCAAAAACAGAGCAACAGAAAAGACAAAGTAATAGAATGCAATACTCCAGCAACAAAGGACACAAACCACAGGCTATAAATACAGGTGAACTGAGTATCTCTTA